TTTTCTCATACTTTCCTATTCTATAGGAATGTGTGGATGTAGGTGTCAGCTTGATGTTAACTGTTAAAGAAAGTGGTATTAGACAGGATCTCCTGGAGCTAGGCAACTTCAAACTGAGGTGACTAAAGTGAAAAATTACCCTAGGTGGCAAGAGAACTCTATTCTGTTATTGCAGAATAGATTTTATTTCAGGGTGTTACTGATAAGTATTTATACTTCACAGCCTGACAATAAAGAAGCAGGAATGAACTTATTGGAATGAGGAATGAGAATAGATGAAATGCAATAGGGAAAGGTGAGCTTTTATGGAGAGATGGAGTGGATCAACCATGTAAATGCTGCAATTAATCTTTCATGTACCAATCTGCTTCCTCCCCAGAGTTGCATCGCCAAATTGTTCACCTTTACCTTAAAATTTTCTTGTTATATTTGAAATTGGGGTATCAAAAATAATGCCTTTTTATTTTTCTTACTAGGGAAACAAGATCTAACCTGGGCTTCTTTCTGTTTAAGGCACAATGCAATGAACTTGGCACAAGCCTCATCCAAAGACCACAACAAGGGACAGAATTACCTGTCATGTCTTTGGTATTACTGAAGTGTTTAAGGCCAAAATTATTACTCAGGGCTATGATTTTTTTAAATTATTATTATTTTTGAGAGGATTTTCTAATTTTTTGTACTCAGGGCTATGATTTTTTTTTTTTTTTTTTTTGAGAGGATTTTCTAATTTTTTTATTTGGAAAAATGTTAACACCCTTACTATCATCCTGAGAGTTTATTCTGAATTTGATTCAATGCATTTCAGAACTCATTGGTTGGGAAAAATTATACTGATCCTGATGAATATCAGCTTCACAAAACCTTCAGCTTTTGCATCTGGTCCTGGTTAGTTCCACAGTTTGATTGTCAAACAAGCAAACAAAATATCCTAGCTATTCTCACAACTGATCTGAGCTTTATACAGAAAAATCCATGAACATTTTTAGGAACTCCCAGTTTGTAAGGAGTACAGATAAATTTTATCTGGCATGGTTTAACTTCAAATATGATCTCTTGATTCTAGATACAGTGGAATGGAAAAATCTAAACACAACCGCTTCTGTAGGCATGCCAGCACAAACACATCCTTCATTATTCCTTGTCAGTTGGAGCTTAAAATTAGAAAATCTCAAGCCAATAAATGAAAGCTCATAATCTTTACACATTTGTGCCAAATCTGTTCTGTTTGTGCTACTATAAGATTTAAAAGACTAGATAGAAGTGTTTCTGCACTGTGCTTGAGCTGACCCAGAGGCAACAAACTGGCAGCTCATGCCCTTTTAAGAGACCTCAAAAGTAAAGATTGTTTTAGTCTCTTGGCTGTCTCTTGAAAGGGTTGGGAACTATGAGTTAGGATGTGTTACACCCCAGCATAAAATGAGGACAGGTTACTGAGTTCATTACTACACTTTCCTTTTCCTAAAATCAGCCCTTGTCCAGGTCAGCTAAAAAAGCAAATAAGGCAGGAATTTAATTCAATACATAACCTGAGTCTATTGTAGCAGCTCTGAGGTGTAGAAAACCTGAGGCACAGGACATGCAGACCTTTCTCTCTGTGGCACACAAGCTCTGAACAGTGCCATGCTCAGCAGTGCAGATGTAACAGTGGGCCTAGAAAGAAATACAAAGGACTACAGATAGATAAAAATCATTCTATAAAAGATACTGTATGCTCTTTTTTCAAATCAGTATATACATTTACTACTTTTTTTTTTTTAACGTGTTAATAAAAAAAATAATTTCCCCATCATGGGAAAATTAGACTTAAAAGAAATGTATCTATGCTTTTAGGAAAGAGCTTACATCAGTTTCTTATTTTGCTGCTTTCTTAGGTTCTCCAGGCTTCCTTTCAACAGTGTTTCTGCTTTGATGTCTTGCTCTCTACCCAGATTGCCAGAAGGCTTTCTGTTGCAAATGCAGGTGTTTTCAACTGTTAGATACAGTTGTGTTGTATTATTCATCACCTCGATATAAAAATGTATTAGCGGGACACTTATTTTACACAGAGGACAAAACAGGGATAATTGGAAAGATGGCAGACTGTATATAGAGGAAGATGTTGCTTAGTGAGACATGTTTGGCAGTGGAGGAGACAGGTTTGCATCTGCCTCGCTGCTGTTTCATGTATCAGTCCTTGAACCTTTAAAGCACAGTTTTTCTAACAGACTGCCTTGCCCATCAGGCTGGCATCTGAAACTAATTAAACATGGCTTTTGAGAAGTACAGCTCTATTCACAGAGAGCACCTAGAAATCATCATAGTATGTCAAGTTTATTTGTTACATGCTGTTGCTTTTTCCTGTTTTTATTGTTTTAGTGCTTGGTAAAGACCTGTGTGTGAGAGGCCAGGTCGTCCCTGAGCTGCTGGGAGTTACTAGAGATGCCAGTGAATGGATCTGCAGCTCAGGGGCAATCTTGAGGCTTGTTACACAGTAAAATGAACACCTCAGTCCTGCTCCTGACAAGGATTTCTCTGTAACACTTGCCCTGTCATTCAGAGATAGCTCGGTGTGCCACACAGACAAAGCAGAGGGACATCCAGAGAATGCTGGTGAGTAGTGACCCTGCTCAGAGTTAGAGATGTGCAGTAACCCTGCTCTTAATACTGCCAGCTGCAGAGGACTGGTATTCACCTTTCCACTCCACCCAGCGGTTTCAGAAATGGAGGCAGAGCATTGCTGGTGAGAAAGAACCAAAGCTGGACAGTGAAACCATATAAAACATATTTACCAGAGATGGTAAAGGGATGAAGCAGAATCAGGTGGGGAAGGATGAGGTAAAGGGCTGGGGGCATAAGTAAACCATTCAAAAGCAGAAAATTGTTTTCCTCTTCTTCCCATAAAATATTCCTTATCTTTCTTCTCCTCTGTCAGCTTTCCCTGGATGGACATTATGCTCAGTGCATATCCATCTTCCAGAGCACCCTGGCAGTCTCCCATTTTGAACACCTGGTAACTCTGTATGCTTTGTATCTGTGAATCCAGACATGATCTTGGGCTGTCAAATGGGCAGAAAGGCACTTTCATATTTTGTATCACTCCAAGGTTCAGTGGCATCTTTTTGATGTGTGTGCATTGCTCATCTACCAACCTTTACACTTAATAGCTTTTTGAAAATAGATATTCTAATCATCAGTCCTCAAAACTTTTGTCTCTGAAGACAGGAAGCTCTTCTTTTGTCTTTCATCTCTTCCGAAGAAGCCTCATTGTTTAAAAAGCAGGCAGCTTAGCACCAGGAGATGGGAATCTCTCCTCAGCCGCCTCCTCATGCTAATAGCACTGCCAGGTGGTGGTGAAGCCCGTTGTTTCACAAATCCAGGTTGTGCCTGACTGGAGCGGAGGGAGGTCTGTCCAATCCAGTGCCTGACACTGGCCAAGAAAGCAGCTCAATGTTTTATTTGTACGGATAGGAGAGAATTCTTCCTTAAAAGCAGATCTTGTTTGGACTTCTGGAACAGGTCTAAATTCTGATTTCTGGATTTAAAATAGCCTCTGACAGCTCATGAGAGTGAGGAACATGATTGCATTTGTGTTGCCTGCTAAGCATGCCATCATCTGTTGACTCTGCTGGCTTCCTGGCCCTGGCCATGATCTTTGGTAGTGAATCCAACCCTAGAGTTAAGTTGAGTGAAAAAGTATCTCCTTCAATCTGTTTCTAATTTGCTAAGTTATAATAGTCTCCTTGCTTTTTATGCTAAAACCCAAAATGAGGGTTCTTTTTCTGTTGTACTCTACCATTTCTAGGCATGTACCTCTAAACTCCCCATCTCTATTTTCTTAGATGATGCTTTTCTTTTTTTTTTTTTTTTTTTTTTACTCTCTGCTCAGATGAGCATCTTTCCAGAGCCTTAATCATTCATCTTTCCTTTTAATTTTACAGTCCTTGTGATGGGATAACCTGTACTGTCACCTTCTTCCAGATGAGTTCACACATCAGGCAGAAGACCAGTGTTGCAATTTGGGTATGACTTAGCAGGTTAGAGTTTCACATCTTTGTCACTAAGGTGCCCTCACTATCTAAGCCTTTCCAAGGTACAGGGAGTGCCTCATTTAACTCTTTGGTTGTTTATTTCCCAACACCTGTTTTTACTTCAGTTAACTTGCAAGTTTCTTTAAATATCTCCCCCATGTGCAGTACAAATGTTACCTACAACAAAACGTGGGATACTAAGGGCCAGACTGGTGTTATTCAAAGCAAAAAGAGATAGTATTTTTCATTAATCCTTATCTTTCACTAATTTTTTTTGCTCAGGTCGTGTTTCTTCCATGAAGTCAGTAACTGTTTCTATAAGCTTATAATCTGACACGGGATTTACATGGTTTAAAAGGGCTTTACTTCTGCTGTGGCTGTAGAGCTGGAGCAGAGCTGGTCTTGTGCTGAAACGATGGGTGGCCTGTACTACACCCGTGTAGCAAAAAGTGGGTTCCTCAGGGCACCGTGGCTGTGCTCTGCTCCCAGCCAGCCTCAGCTTCCCACCATGGTTTTCCCAGGAGAGCTGCCGGTGCTCGCGGCCGTGCCAGGGCCAGCAGAGGCGGCTGCGACCACCAGATTCCAAAAGCTCTCATCACCGCAAGGCATCAGTCCGCTGTTGGCAAATCGAAACCATGGATTCGCCCTTAAGGGCCGCGGTAAGCTCTTACTAACAGCCCCCAGGCCGTGGTTCCTCGACCATTTTGGGCTGACTTGCTGCAATTCATACATTTTGGCGGTGGCCTGGGCTGAGAGGAGCCTGCGCGCCGGCTGCGCTCTCCTCGCACCTTTCCACGCCCGGGGCAGCCGAGGGCTGCCCGGCCCGCGCCCGACTCATGGCTCGGTCTCTGCCGATGCCCGGGCGTGCCGTGCCGTGCCGAGCGCAGCCCGTTCCCTGCGGCCGCGCCGCCCGCATATGCCCAGCGGCGGCGCGGCTGACGGGGCAGGGGCGGGCCCGGCG